AAAAAAAAAAAAAAAAAAAAAAAAAAAAGAGAGAAAAAGGGGGTTGAATAGCTTATTCTGGAAACGGGCTGCCGAGGAGAGAGGGCGGCTCGGTGGGACGGGGCGCTGCTCCCTCGCTGGCACCGTCTCTCCCCGGCCCGAGCGGTTCCCTGCACAACATCCACCACGTCCCCTGCAAAGCACGGCCGGGGACGTCCCCAAGCACGGGACCGAGGGGCTCCCTGCAGCCGGACCCTCTCAGACCGCTAGGAGGGGGAATTTTGTGGGATCTACCCCAACATCGGAGAAAGACCTGCAGCTCCGAGGGGAGGGACAAGGTTAAAACGCGACTCCCGTTGTTGAAAACGCGACCGAGGGTCTTTTGTTCACAGTATGAAATGAGCTGAAATCGTCAAAGCAGCCGCGGATACAAAGAGTCCTTTGGTGTCAGGGAGGGAGAAGGGGGGGAAATGTCAAAGGAGAAACCAAGAGTCGGGAAACAAAAGTCCGTGTGTCTGTCAGATGTCCTTGAGTGTGCCCTGGGTGAAGCAACCTCACGCTTGATTTAATACCTTAAAAAAAAAAAAAAGTGATCTTAAACAACCCCTCCCACGCCCAGACCTACAAGATCAGCAAAACCTTGGAAACCAGCCACAGGGACGAGTCCTGATCTTGTCACTAGCCAGAAACGGTGGAGTTTTGGGGAGGAGGTGGGAAGAAAGAAAGAAAGAAAGAAAGAGGAGAGGGGGGACACGGGGTACAGCAGGTCCAAGGGGCACAGCTCAGGCTTGATCGGCCACCAGGACCAGCGGGGCCACCAGGTGCTGCCCGGCAGCCACTGCCTTGGCCAGGCTGCTCTTCTGCCGCCGCTTGGCCAGCTTGGACTCGGAGGGAGGGGAGAGCTGCATGGCCCGTGAGGTAGCTTTGATGATGATGGGTCTTGCTTCCTCCTCCGCCTCCTCCTCCTCGTCCTCGTCGCGCCGCGTCAGCTGGCGGTTGACAGCGATGGCCTCAGCGGCGAAGGAGGTGAGCTCTTTGGCACTGCTGTTCCTGCGGGGGAGGCAGAGGCTCAAGGGGGGATATGGTGGTGATGGTGGGAGCTGGAAGGAGGTTGGGGTCAAATATCGGGTGCCCCTCCCCCCCCCACCTTGCATGCACGCCACACGCTGGACCAGTCAAGCACCAAAACCAGGGCTTGAACCCGAATCGTGTGCTGCCAACCACTGCCCAGACCACGAGAGCTGCAGCAGAGCAGCCCACTGCGGGGAGGAACCAGGATCGGGGGGGGGCTGGGACATGTCCCACCCCCCCGTCGTCCCCATCCCCCCCAATCCCACGGCCACCCGGTGCTCACCTCTGCAGGATGATGGGGGTCGGCAGGGTGTTATCCGGGGCGCACTGCAACGAAACACAGCCGGTGAGAGTTGGGCACGCCACGGAGCAGGGGATGTCCCCCAGCCCGGCTTTTGGGAGCGGAGGGTGGGGAAGGGGGGGCAGCACTCACCCCCTGCACCCAGGGGTGCTCCAGGACCTGGGCTGCGCTGAGCCGCTTCTTGGCATCTCTCACCAGCAGCTTAGAAATGAGGTCTTTGGCTCCGAAGGAGATGTGCGCCCAGTCCTTGTCGGGAAACTCGTACTTCCCCTCCTGGATGCTCTCGAAAAGCATGTTCTGGGGTGGGGGGGGAGAAGAAATAAAAGGAGTTGAGCCAGGAGCGGTGCTGCCAAACCGGTGGCGGGTTTCGGCCATGCCGGGGGTCCCCCGCGCACCTGGCAGGTATGGCACGCCTCGCCCCGGTCCCAGCCGCAGTCGGAGCCGCAGTGGCCCACGAAGGGGGGG